TGTGCGTGTGTGTGTGTCTGTGTGTCTGTGTGTGCGTGTGCGTGTGTGTCTGTGTGTGTGTGTGTGCCTGGCTCAGTACTGTTGGCTCCACACACGAGGCAAACCGTGTATTGTGAGCTGAATAGAGCTCAGTGGCTGTACACAGGATTAACATAAGAATAGTGTGTGGGTGCTGGAAGGCCAGAACTTCATTCCTGTCACTCTGCAGCTGACGCGTTCTCACCTCTGCATGCTGCACCTCCACAAAACTGGCTCACCTCTGCTCTTCACCTCTGTCAGTGTTGCTTTAGTCTGTGACTGTGCATAATTTTCTTTCCATCAGTCCATCTGCTTCTAATTTTCCTCCTGACAGAGACTGATGACAACATGGAGGATAACCACACTTTCCTGTACTTTGCATATGGCAGTAACCTGCTAAAGGAACGTCTTCAGCTCAAGAATCCCTCTGCAACAGTGCACTGTGTAGCCAGGCTCAAGGTATGATGTGCTGACAAAAAAGGGGAAGCTCTCCCATATGAACACATTTAATTATTCCTTCCTTTTGTCACTTTTCAGGACTATAAACTGGTTTTTGGGAACCACAAAGGCCTTGCTAGTGACCGATGGCATGGAGGTGTTGCCACCATAGAGCACAGCCCTGGAGACGAGGTGTGGGGTGTAGTGTGGAGGATGAACGTGTCTGATCTAGAGTCTCTTGACAGGTAAAGTTGTTTTTTTCTCATAGATTTTATTCAGTGTCCTCCTGGTCAACGTGACGTGTAACATTTGTTTACACACTTAGTCAGGAGAACGTGACATTAGGAGCGTACAGTCCGGTGGAGTTATTGGTGAAGACAAAAGGCCAGGACCTCAACTGTCGCACCTACATAATGAACAGCTGTGTGTATGCTCCACCATCACCACAGTACCTAAAGGTGAGATGCTGACTGTAGTTATGATTGTGAGTGTTTCAGTGTGATGCAGGAGCAGAGAAAAATATTTTTGAAATCACAGAAAGTCCAATTTTAAAAAAAATGTTCACCATTATACTGATGCATTTTTTCTCTCTGATGTCAGTAAACCCCATAAAAATACTAACAACTACAAAGCAAAAACATTTTTTCATTTTTATTTGCATGTTTAGAAACTAAGATGTTAAAGTTAACTGATTTTTTAAAACAGAAAATTACACAACACTAAATAAAACAACATGCCATACTTCCAAAATGAACTTGGACAAATGAAAAATATAGGAAATGTCTTTAACGTCTTTGTCAAATATGGTCACATTAGGCATGGAGGGTATTTGTGTGTTTGTGAGACTGGTATATCAGATTTGAAAATTAAAAAAAATAAATGACAAAAGTAAGAATTTAATGGTCAACACAAAGCTAACTGCTAAGCAATTGGAAGAAACAGCTAATGGCTAATCCCTTGTTTAATTTTAATCAGAAGTTTTAAAAAGTGAAATTAAATTGATATTCTTTTTCCACATTCATTTGTAAAATCTGTTTTCATCCTCTAGTCACTGTGACTGTGTGACATACTGATTTGTTGATCTCAAGATCTCAAGAACAATGCCTCTTTATGGTACACGGTAACAACTTACACTCATTTCACTTACTGTAAGGAAGGTACATTTACTGTTATTTTGGGTCGTTTCATAATTTTATCAGCAGTATTAAAAACATTCACTCAGATGCCAGTTTATGTATATGTAGCTTAAATTAGTGGAGTTTAATATCACACGATATCCGGAAACCGAAATCAGAAAACCTGAGATGTGTTGATACAATTTTATCATAACTGTTAAGACTGTGATTTGTCCTGTTATATTGCCTTATATCAAAAGATAATGCAATTTGAATGCATTGTCCTCCCCATTTATATAACTGATAGAAAGACACAATCCCGTTTTCAAAAGAAACTCAACCTTTTTGATGCTGACGAGATTTTTTTTAAAAGCTATAAAGGAGAAAATAAGAACGTTTTCTGACAGCACTAGCATGTCTAAAAAGAAGCTTCCTGAGACATGAAGATGATGTGGGACCTATGAAATCTTCAATACCCAACATCCAGATGATGGTGAAACAACTGGTTGCTCAGTGTTGCAACATTAAGCGAAAGGAACTGCTATCCCAACTCGAGATCGATGAAGTAAAATACAAATGCTGCAGCAAGGGGGACCAAGGGCTTCAGGTCAGTGGGGAGATATCATCAGCTCCAACCAAGATTGGGTACCAAGCATCAGGTTTGTCAGAAGGAATGTTGAGTGCAAGAGCAGCTTTCCTAAAAGATAGGATTCATGGCAAAGCAGGAAACCTTGACCATTGGTAGGTGGTTAACAAGAGTAAGTAAAGCACCCTCAGAAGTGCTGCTAGAAGATTTGAATGCAGCATTATGGACAAACCCTACTGCAACCATCACCTAAACCAACAAGCTGATCTACACCACAGCAGCAGTGCCCTCCATGGAGAAGGAGACCAAGGTAGTAAGGAGGGAACTATCAACTGTCAGAGCTCCAGAAAGGTGTAATGAAGAAGGGGTGCCTAAGAAGTACAGCAAGCTGCCCATACCTAAAACCTTGGAAACTGCCGAGCAAAGACTCACAGCCTTGGCCAGGCGTTTGAAGGGGAATACCAGAGAGATCGAAGGCAGGAGAATAAACCAGATGTTTTCCGCTGAACCATCCAAGGTGTACTCTCAGTGGCAGGGGAACAATATGAGAACAGCAGCTCTAACATTGGTTGAGACGGAGCAATACTAGAAGAGCATATGGAAGAAGGATGTAACTCATAACAGCAACTCAGGGGCTAGTCAATCTAAGAGCAGACCACAGCAAGCTCCCTGAACAGGGACCAGTAACCATCACAGTGGCAGACATCCAAGAAAGAGTCTCCAATATGAAGACTTGGACAGCACAAGACCCCAAAATGATTCAAGCATACTAGAGCAGGGCGATATGACCAAAAATATTTATCACGATA